CCAGGTCATGTTTTTGAACTCAATGCATGAAATCTGAGATTTTGTAACAGGATTGTGATCTTTGCATTCATCTTCCTCATGTCATGTTCTTGAAACACCATCGTTCATCGGTGTTCTTCGCATACGATGAGGGAAACCCAATTATTCTCTTGAGCATACATTCATTCCTTTGAATGGGCCACCGAGGCCAACACCGAGGGAAGGGGCTGTTTAAGAGGGAATCAAGAGAAGGGAGAGAGTGTTTTGAGTTGTAAGGATTTTTCTTACAGAGATGTTCGTGTGATTGCGTTGGGGGGCGCAGACATGCTTATTATACCTTCTGAGCCCCATATTTAACTCCTCCTGTTCATCTTCTGAAACACGTGGCTCTGCTATCCATCTGTCAGCATAAAACGCATGCCATTACATACCTGCTCTCAACTGCTGTCAGCACAGCCGGGTTCGGCAGCCCGAGCTGCCTAAACCTCGGTCATCACCATGCTTCATACCTTATTAGGCCTAACGGATAAAGAAATGAGGACCCGGGCTAGGACGGCATCTCTAAGCAAAGCTAGCCACGGCTCTCCTTTGTCGGCCTTCTCGCGGTCAATCAACTACCTCGGCTGACCGCAGCTTTTCCGAGCCCACCGGCTCTCTCTGGGTCTGTCTGGTTTGACATCCTCGGACGAGCATCCTGGTGCCTGAGCGTCACTTCCTGGCCAACGCAAGCTTCTGCACGGTCCGGGGCAGACACCCGCCCAGCCAGTCAAACTCTGCCCCGGCCAGTGATTCTGGTAGTGCCATCTCCGGGTGATAACATGATCATGTTCTCGGGCTGCAATGCTTCTGGCTGGGCCCTAAACTTGCTCGGCTAATACTCGGCCACAGCGGATCATAAATCACCCTCTCAGGTACATATGCATTGTTCGGGGCTGTTTTGCATCATATTCCGGTACTAGAAATTTGCATGCTTGTATGCCATATTTCCATGCCCTACCATGTTTTGTTAGAGTGGGCATTTGTCCTTAGGTTATGTATCCTCGGTTTGCTGCAATGTTGTCACGCATCTCGAGTGTCTCATTTTCGCATCGAATGGCCTCCTATGTGAGTGTGGCTGAGTCCACTTGTGTTGTGGTGTAAGTCCATTATGGCATTGTGTATGCATTGTCACTTTCAAATAGCATTGTGGTATGCTAGGTTGTATGTTAGCAGGCATTGTGTATGCCATGTTACTACTCCCGTGCTAGTGTATGCTATTTCATATGGCGATTGTGCAATTGGCTAGTGTGTCATATTAGTTGCATTCATGCATGTCATGCCATAGTTGCATTGATGTTTTGAGATAGGAGTTTAGCCCGACGCACGGGAGAACGAGGTACGTTAGTACTCCGAGTGACGGGATACGTGCCTCAATATTCCCAGATCAGCACTCGCACTCGGATTATCTCTGAGGGGTTTAGGTATTAGTTTGTGTTCATGTGCATTCATCTTCCATATATGAGTCGTGCATTCGCTCCTCGGCATCCACTCTCAGCATCGATATGCCGTGATTGGTGGCACGAGGACCGAGGACTATCAACCGTGCCCTATGAAGAACATGGGTAGAGTTTCGCCGCTTAAGCACATCTGATGTTGTAAAATACTCCTCTGATACTATAGGCAATAAATATTCTGTGTTTGGTGTCTCTTGCAGTTATAGAACATTTAGTCTGAGGACAGTGCTCGAATCACTTCCCGTGGATCAGTCGTCTATGGGCATGAGACACTATGTCTTGACAGTGATATACACAAACTCGAGTTACTAGAGCTGGAATGTATTTTGGGTGGACGGATTCTTGGCGAAGTGGATTTTCGACGCACCAAAAGCAACCAATGACAGATTGAAAGAAGCTAAAAGTGGTGGTATTTTTAATAGAAAGCTAATGGTGTTAAATCATTCGACTTTTGATAACAAGTTCTTGTTTTGCGCATTCGTTTGACTGAGTGATCTGTGTATAAGAGCATGAATTGCGGTGTATTCTCCCGTTAAGCATTTTAGCTATGTCTATAGAGATAATTATTAAACTCTGACTATCTACTCATAATGTGGTTTAATTTAGATGTGTTAATTATTAGAGAGATTTGTAAGACATTTTCTTGGAGAACGTTGTCCGTATTTATTCGAGCGGAACTGTATATTATGTACTCACTCTTACGGGACTATACGGAGCAATGTTGTAGCAAGCAAAGTTACCTTGGTAGTGCACCGTCTAGACGGTGGAAAGTAGTTATGAGTTGATATAAGCATAATTTGTGCGCTAGGCACGATAAGTTTGGGAGTGTCTCGCTCGTTTCACGCTCGATCCTAGCGGACTCAGACTAATAGCGCTCTTTTTCATCTGCTCGCACCTTTTATTTGTGCTCTGCGCACACGGTAGAATGATATATGGTAGAAATAGTCACGCCGACGTGCTGAAAGGACTAAAGCATTTGTAGCACATAGAGTGTATTGGTATCAAAATACGTTAGACGATGTGCCTCGGAGGGACTTCATAAGCAAGTGTCTATTTGCATCAGCACTAATGTCTATGGCAAGTTGCTTCTCTGCTAACTGGCTACGCGGGACTCTAGGGCACTTATTAGCTTCACATGCTCCATTAGACACTTGTCAGGGGACTATTGCAACATGCATCGTATTAGTGAGATATCATACTCCATAAGGATTGAGAGATATAATGCTTATCGCTCTAATTGCTTGCCGCTATTGTCTTTCTCAGTCACTGCCATTTGTTGTATATAACCGAACGAGCCTAGCGGTTATTTAACCGTTGCAGTTGGGTTTTTGGTCATATAGCCTGGTGTAGATGCTTAGGTCACTCATTCTGATATTGTATTATTAAGGATATCATATGCATATGGAATCCTACCCTTATAATGAAAGCTTTCTAGGCTTATGTATTGGTGCTATGATGGAGTAATCACTCTCGGTTCGTTCCAAGTTTTTACTGACTGTCATTTATTGAATTTATGTATTGTGTTTGATTGAAGAGATGATGTGTAGAATTAGCCAGATGAAGTAGTATGCTTACTCATCGAGGCCTATATCTGCTTATCGTGATATACTGTCTGAAATGCTTGTGGGTGGTGAAAGTGTTGCACGACTATCTGACTGTCTCGTTATATTGTGACATATATATTATCAATATTCAACTATGCTGGTAGTATCTTTACATAGAACTGCCAACTCATGTTATATTAGTTAGGAAATAATAATGTTTTTACTAAGCCCATCACTGTTGAAGGTGAATGTGGCAAATCCAGTCTTACGGCTCAGAGCTCTCGAGGGGTAAGGAGGGTGGACGCCGCCTCGGTGGTATATGTCAAACCATTTTCAAAGACAACAACAGAAGCATGTTTTGTTGTTTTCTTGGGTCATGTCTGATTCGTGTCTTAACTTCTGGTGCCATTAATGGCTTTGTGTTGCACGAGATCGCAATCCATTGAAAAGTAATATAATGTCTATGTCTCGTGATTCTATGGATTATTGATAATTTAACACAATCGTCAAATCGGTCTGGTTGATATAGAAACTGATATCAGTCGGTTATAGAGGCGATTCTTTGATCGGTGACGAGAGTCCGCGCTTGAGGGACTCTCCGCTCCCCGACGAAAGTGACCTTCCAATCGTACCCCAAGTTTTCCAAGCCGAGGCAACTTTGGTGATGAGGACACGTCCTTTTTACCGCAAGTGTAGGCAACGAGTCAGGGTTTTCTAAAATTCCCAAATAAAATATTTAGGGTGGCGACTCTGTATCTGGCAAGGCAGTCCATGTTTGGCACTTCTTTCAAAATCTGTTTTCTCAAAACGATTTGCCGGATTTGGACTCTTTGGTTCAGATTAAGAACCGTGACAAATTTTAGAGTCCTGAACTGTAGTGAGCCCAATATCAAACGGAACGCAGGGGACTCGTCCCTCCCGGGGCGTTCGGGGACGTCTACAGTATTATTTTGAAATTGTTCATTGTCTACTAATATCTTCACATAGGGAGGCAACAACAACGTGGTGCTTATAATCACAGGCCATATTGTTCTACTTTATTTTGTATTTGCATTACTTTATGTTTATTGATTTTGTGCGATAATAATATTTATGGTATATTGTATTAAATTTTCCCAACAAATAATAGAAAATATTTAATCTGTTTAGAACTCTGCTAATTTCTGAAAGAGTGGAAAAACTGACCATCAGTGACAAATTGCTGGTCTCCTTAACTTTATCCATTGGCATTGCTAATTGCAACTTCCCATGAGCCACATAAACCTAAAAACAAACAAATAATTTTGATATTAAATACGATATAAACACCCATCTGATATTTCAGATTATTAGATACAAATCATGTCCGGAGTAAGGAGAGAAGACATACAATATGTGATGGCCAATCCTCCAGACCATCAAATATATGTGTGGCATAAATAATTGTAGCACCACGCTCTTCACATTCCTTTCGAAGAAACTTCAACAGGTCAGCCCTCGCAAGAACATCAAGGTCAACGGTGATTTCATCAAGAAGAAGTACCTACATAAACAGGGTCCTCGCTTAAATGAGAAAGAAAATCTAAAGATTATGCCAAGAAGGATCAAGTGGTCAAAAAGCAGAAAACTTAGACGTCTTGCAAGAATGATATACCTTGAATGGCTTTAACAGACCCATACAAATCTGCACGCGTCTTCTCTGACCATCTGATACTTTGTGCAATCTCCATGATAGATCAACATCTAAAACCTAAACCACCAAGTAAGCACACAATAACTTGTTAACAAACAACTTCCATTTGAAGGAAGGACCGTCTCAAGAGAAGACTACATTGCACCATACCTTGATCAGTTCAGCTCTTCTTTGAGGATCAATTCCCGACACACCACAAATCATCTTCTCAGCAGAAACATCCATTTGTATTGGAACCTCAAAACCAGCAAAAGCAACATCTCGCCTCCACTGCAAAATTGAAGCTTTTATTTAGATATGAGGTTAGTTAGCTCTAAAATTAATGAAGCCATATATTTCCTCAATGGATTCCAATATTTCCTCCTCTAACATGCTCAATTGACTTTCAAATGGAAATTCTTGCTGATTGGATCCTTGAACCAACACATGTAATGAGAATTGGGAGGGACATAGGTTGACCAACATAGTGTAGAGCTTCGGCCATATTTAAAATAAATAAATAAATAAAAACATTACAGGGTTGTTTGGCAATAATCTGAAATAACCAAAAAGCTAAAAAGTCAAAAAACCAAAAAGTCGTACAAAAAAGTCGATTCCTTCCCATTCTTTCTACTTTTTACATGTTTTTTTTTTTTTTTTTTTTCCCGTAAAAAGTCAAGTCATTCCTGAATAGTTTATTTTTTTCACCACTAATTTTAACCAAAAAGTAAAAAAAAAAGTCACTAAAAAAGCTACTTTCCAAATAAGCCCTAAAGAAAAAAGCTTGAAATGCAAACCATTTCAACCCTTCTTAATAAATATAGCAAGAACATGAACAAATCAATTGGACATTCAGCTGGAAAATACCAGCACATTTGAAAAACAAGAAAAGAATTGGATCAACCAGCAGAACTCAAAATCAATAACAAACTCATTCAAGTGTGACAATAACCCAGCAGAACATTTTAACAAAAATTTCAATTATTGTTTCTTATTAAATAATCAGACAATTATTATTTTTAGCCAACTCCACTTATTGGGACACAAGGCCTTAGTTTGATTTGGGTATCAAACAATCGCAAATGCTTAACTGAAAGATGAATTAGAACTCAATCAACCATGCAATTTTACAAAAATTGCACACAAAACAAACCAATCATCATACATACAGCTACAAATCAGTGGCTCAGTAATCAAAATCTAACTAGAAATCCAAAAAGAAAAAAATAAAATAAAACAAACCTCTCCTCCAAGATAGCAGAGGTCACCAGAAGAGGTCAAAGCGGTATCATGAAAAGCCGATCTCCCCAAAACGCGAACCATGTGAGGCTCCACCATGTGCTTCCCTCCCAATATCTTCAGAATTGTCGTCTTACCTAATCACACACAACAAAAAAAATCAACTGAATAACAAACACGCCACGCGATGATTCACATTTTCATTTTCATTCTTTCCCTGTTAAAATTGCAGAGAAATTAAAAAAAAAAAAATGAAATTGAACCTGCGCCGTTGGATCCAACGAGGAGACAGCGATTGCCGGGGTGGAGAGTGAGAGAGAAGTCGTGAATGAGGGGGGTGGAGCCAGGCGGAGGATGGCCGTCGATTCCGGGGTAGGTGAAGCTGAGATTGTTGATCCCGACCGTTGGATTCGAATTCTCCTTCACCGCCATTGTGTGTGTGTGTGTGTGTGCGTGAGAGAGAGAGAGAGAGAGAGAGAGAGAGGTTTGGTGTAATGAACATGAGCTGAAGAAGCCGATGGCTTTTTACAGGGGAATTTTTTAGGCATCGAATTGAAGGGAGGGAGTTGATGGAGGCGTGGCGAACTGCTGGTCACTACTGGAGAGTTTGTGATTTGCTGCGGAAAGGTGTACTGATATCTTAGATAGAGCCAACCAATGATTTTGTAACACGTCCGAATGTATGAATTTTTATGGTTGGTGGGTGAGAGAGAAGCTCTCTGCGATGTTGTGTTTTTGTGATGTGGGATGGGACTATTGGTTAATTCGTTTTTGGGTGTGTGCGTACGAAACACCCAATCGGGACTCTTTTGAGGTCTCCCAACAACCAACCGTTTTGGCCACATGGAAGGGTGTTTCGGTCATTTGACTGACTCTTTTAGAAAAATAATTTTTTCTTGCCAACTTTTATTAGAGTTTATGACCTTTTGAATTTAAAGCCATAAATCCAAATTTAAATTTTTAGTTCTCAAAAGACCGAAACATGCTTTTATAAAAAGACCAAACTACCCATGAACCCAGACGTGTCTCTGGAACTCTTTATTAATCAAACCGCTCTCTTTCTCATTCTTTATCTGTTTAAATTGATTCATTCTCTTTTTTTTCCCTCTCCAACTACTTCAATCTCTTATTTGTCTTCATCTTCTCTCTGCTCTTCATCTTTACCTCTCTCTCTCTGAAGACCAGACCTTTACACATTCCAACTCACTTCCAAGATACTAGTTCCAATTCAAGCTTATTCTCCGCTGTCAAATCATAGAGTTCTATCACCAATCATCATCATTTTTATCTCTCTGAGGCGCCTTCGAATTCAGCGATAGAAGCAACGAAACCACACTACATAGCTGTGGACGATCCAAATAACCCAAACGACATCGTCAACCCCATCGCCGTTGGACTCGGCCACTTATTTCATATGGATTTGATGTTTTAGATATCTATTGGAAGAACAAGCACCGATTGATGTGCAATAGCGAGAGCTGCACCATTGCTGAAAGAGATTGCTATGAGAAATCGGTACGCTATTCTTTCTAGTTTCTTTGATTGATTTTGATTAATTAATTAACTGGAACAGAATTGTTACAATATTATAAATTTTGAATAGATATTTGTACAGATATAAGAGAAAACATGTAAGATTTGTAGTACTGTTGATTAGATGATGATGAAAATGAGATAGAAAATTTGTAAATTTAGACATAGAGAAAATTTGAATAGATAGACAAAAAAAAATTGAACAAATAGACAAAAAATTTTTTTGAATAGATGGATATAAATTTGACAGATAGTCAACGAAAAGTCAAACAAATAAAAAAATTCAAGGAGTGAAATTGGAAATAAAATGTTTTCCAAGACTTCTCACCAAACTATTTCAAAAAGTGTGGACCTTTCACCAACAAAAAAATAAAAAACCACTAGACCTAATGCCTTAGATAATTGCTAGAGTGGATTTTTCACAAATTTTCTCATTTTTTTTTTATATTTAATTTGATTTAAGTTTGAGTAAAAATTTTGATTATAATTTTTTAATAATGCTAAGAACACAAACACTAAACACATAACGGAACACAACTTTCTCATAAGGGGTAGGTCCCATATGTGGATTTCATACATGTGGGCCCTACCCCTTGTGAGTGGGTTGTGTCCCATTTTGTGTTTGATTTCTGTGCACATAAACTTACTCATAATTTTCTCATCAAATTTTGATTAATTTATTATGTTTCTAATTTTACTTCTTAATCTATCTGCTGGATTTTTTTTTTACAATTTGTTCAAAAAAAATTTTTTTGTCTTTTTTTTGGACTATTTATTCAAATGACATCTTTTCTTATCTGTTGAATTTTTTTAACCTATTTTTTTTCTAATATGTTGAACTTTGTTGAACCTACTCTGTTTGTCTATCTCTCTATCTGTCAAAAATTGAATTTGTTTGTTTTATCTGTTCAACAACAACAACAACAACAAAAGAAAAAAATTATCTATAATAGATAGAGAGGATGAATGATTTGTTGGACGACAACAACAACAACAACAAAGATAAAAAAAAAAAAAAAAAAAAAAAAAAAAAAAAAAAAAAAAAAAAAAAAAAAAAAAAACTAGACCTGGACAACAACAACAATAATAACTAAGGTTTTTCGCTGCCGGAGTTCAACTCCAACTTTGACTTTGTCATGTTTCGCTGTCGGAATTAAACAAGATGTGAATCTTTTCTGTTACTATTACCTAAGGCACTAATAATAAGGAAAAAGGACGATAGTGGGGTTGATCTTGCTGTTTTCTGGAACTTTCCGGCGAGATCTCACAAAATGAATTGTTCATATCTTGAATTTTCATGTCAAAATCGAATCAGTCAGATCTGTGTGGTGGTGGTCTTTCCCATTGATCTTGTTATCATTCGTGTCCAGAATCATTGGCGCTTACCTTAACAGTAAAAATGAAGGAAGAGAGAAAGGTAAAGTTGATGTTGGATGTTCTGCAAAAGCCTTATACAAAAACGAGGTCTTCGAGGGTTGCATAGGTTCTACTAGATTTAGTAGGAGGAGGTGGCGAAGAAAGCGATGGATTCTACTGTGGCTAGGAGACATCTGGCGATGACGTCGATGAGGAGGAAGATGAAGGAGAGAAAGATGATAGAGAGAAAAAGTGAGAGAAATGGGTAAATATATATAGAGAGAGATATAGAGAGAGAGGGGGGTTTGATTATAAGAGGAAGACACGCATGGATCATATATAAGAGTAGTTTGGGCATTTCACAGAAGTATGTCTTTATAGATAGAGTAATTCTACTTACATCACTACTTTATCTCTTTACACTCTCTATCTCATTACACTACCTAAAAAAAAAAAAAACTCTCATTACATCCCATTATATTACCAATACTAATCCTAAATTAAACCTTTCATCTCTTTACACCCATAACTTTTGGACGGAAAAGAGAGAAGCATTAGCAAAGGAAAAGAGAAAGCAAGGAAGATGAGGGGTTCAGATGTAGAGAAGACGAGTGGTTCGGACAACGTTGTGGTCTGTGTTACTGGCGTGGACGATTGAACTCATTTTTCTCATTCACCAAAGGCAAGTGAAAAAATCTTCTCTATCATCTACATCATATATATTTTTTTTGACTAAACAAAGAACAACACATTCCCAACACAGTTTTGGTAGTTTTGATCTTCTAACTTAATTGGGTTTGTAATTTTTTGTGCTAATTTTGAATGTTAAAGTTTAGATTTTGGTCCTTTGTTTTGTCAAATTTTTTTTCTCTGTTTTGTATGTGTTCAAAAGTAGACTATGAATCCCAATTAGAATTTTTTTGGTCAAGCCTCCTTTTTTAAGACCTATCACAGTTTTCCTTAACAAAATCTAACCAACTATAAAGAGTTGGATGCCAAATGTTGATGAAATGGATGAGATAGACAAACATGTGTCACTGATGTAGGTGTAACTCATTGTCCCATTACAACTGATGATGTTGAAGCGGTAGCTAATGAAAGAAGAGAGTGAGAATGAATGTTCAAAGTGACAAATAGTAGCATTTACGAAAGCTTCAATGTGTTTTGAAAAAAAAAAAAGAAAAAAAAAGTGCCTCTATTCAAAATCATAAATACCCATATGGAGCATCATGTGGCAACAAGTACCTAATTTTCCAAGATCCTTTGCAACATTTACTACACAAAGGCCATCAACACATGGTACTCAGCATGATGTTGGTTTGGTCTGTTTGGTTGTGTTTTTGTTTTCTCTGTTAATTGCATGAAATTTTTTTCAACTATTAGTGTATATCACTTAAACTGATATATTTTGATCCCTTCAATTATAAAAATGTATCACTTTTACTCATATTTCAAACCATCTTTAAAAGGGGTGTCATCTACACATTGTACTCAGGGGTCATAAGATGTTGGTATGGTTTTTTTTTTTCCTGAGTTAATTGCATCGAGACTTTCTCAAATATTAGAGTGGTCAGTGTAATTTACCCTTTTGATTTTGTTAGCTTAATAAGTTTTTGTTTAAGTTGGTTGGAACAATGTATATGGCTTTTGACTAATGTTTGTGTTAAACTGGTTAGAGCAATGTTTACCTTGGTTGGAATAATATTGTGGTTTTGAATTTTGTACATGTTAAGTTAGTATGTAATTGATAATAATATTTTCAAATGAAGTAAATCTTAAAAACTTAATTGCTAATTACAATTTTATTTTATTTTATTTTGTTTTTTAAAAAAAAAACCCTCAAATGTAAGACATTAAAGTGTATCCACAACCAATAAATGGTTTTTTTTATAATTTTTTTTAATTTTTTTTTTGTGTAAAAGATAATCTAAGTGGAGTTGACATTTAACAATAATAGGTAATCTACCCCCTATTTACATGAAAATTCAATAAATGAATAATCATTGGATGAAAGTTTATTTATTTAAGGGAGATAATTGTGCTTCTTGAGTCTTAAAAGTGAGGTACATGGATCAATGAAGAAGATATTGGGATGACTATATAAATACTTATGGTAAATATTTCGAAGAGCAAACAAAAAGAGTGGTTCAATCATCGCTAAGCTAAATTTGATGTTCTTGTTTATTTTATAGGTAATAGAAATAAAATTAAGGGGGGGGGGGCAAATAATAATGACCTACCATTAGGTTTGAAGAAAATACAACAACAATATTGTAATTAATTGTCCTGTAATTCATTATATGAACAACCTCATGTCTGTCGTTGGAGTCCGCGGAGAGATGGGGGTTTTACAAAAGACCACTTGCAAACATTACGAGAGCAGCTCGACATGTTACGTGCTAATGAGGTTAGACATTTTATAATAGTGTCATATTGTAAAAAAATAAGATTTTACAACTAACATTATGCATTGCCTATTTGTAGGTCGAGTGGGATCCATACCCTTTATCTAGGACACAACATCCACTTCATGACATTGCATATTATCCTGAATGCTTGAAATGCTTTGATATTGTTGAATCTTATCATCCTAATAGGGTTTTGCGACAGTTTGGTAGGGTTC